CGTTCCCCATTAAGGGTTAAATGGGCACGGATTGCTTACCCATTACTTTCTGGACACTCTGGTTCCTTTATATTAAAAGATGGATGTTTATGTTTTATTTTTCACATCTTGTCGCTGTAAATTAGGCTTTTAGGCAGAGCAGCTTGTCAGTGTGCTAGGACAAAGCTAACATTTTTATTCTTAGTTTTTATGAGTCATTGATGATTTATTTGTGTTCTGTGCAGTTAATCATGCAGACAATACTTTAAAATGTGTTCCTGATAGTCCTTTCCTTTTTAAACTGTTGATAGGTAAGATCACTCTGCGGGATCTGAAGAAGTGCAAGCTGGCTCATATCTTCTATGACACTTTCTTCAACATTGAGAAGTACCTGGACCACGAGCAGCGGGACCCTTTCTCTGTCATTAGGGTGCGTAAGATGTGCTAAAAGGAAGTGTTCATCTCCACCACCAAGCGCTCAGCATAACTAGTCCTGTTTGGCTCTCTGGTTTTAAAGGAGGCCGAGACAGACGGCCAGGAAGTGTCGGACTGGGAGAAATACGCAGCGGACGAGTACGACATCCTGGTGGCGGAGGACGCAGCTAATGATCACTGCAATGATGTGTAAGGGTGACACCACAAGCAGCGTCAGTGAATGGAAGCAAACCTATTAAATTATTGACAAAACTACAACTTTAAGCTGTTGGGAGTCTTTCAGAACAGTTTATTTTATTTTCTTATATTTTATTATTATTTTCTGTCCCATGTTTGATGGCAATTCATTTGTTTTGGATTTTTTCCATTAATCTGGTTTGGTTGCACTTATTTAGCTTTAAATCAAGTTTAAGTCTTTATTTCTCATCCTTTACTGTATATTTACTGACTAAATGTAATTGAACTGATATTAATGGAATTCAAATTGTTTCTCTTTTAGAATCATACAGATTAATATGCACAATATAGACTGTGAAAGATGAGACTAGACAGTGTTCAGAGTCCCTTTATTGGGGGTCGTATTTGGCTGTTACTGCCTGTCAGGGTGAACATGATGGTCAGCGTGATGCAGCACAGATGAGCCCCTCTGAGAGTGAATCAGTGATAAACCAGGCTGTTGACAGGCATGTTGTGTGGCGCTTTTAGGAACACCACCGACCTCTAGAGACAGGCAGCTCCCCAGAGCAGGTAAGACACTCAGGGTTACATCAGGGATAATAGTTTCCCTCTTCTTCCCCCGCTTTCTCTCTGGGAAACTCATCCTAAACCCTTCTGTCCTCTCCCTCCACCAAATGTTCACACATTTATAACAGAATGTAGTGGGGGGGGGTTATCCACCACAGTGTCCTGTTTATGCAATCCTGTCAGACCTGGATGTTTGTTTCTGAACCAGACAGCTTTCATCTTCCAATTTTTATGTGAGAAAAACAAGAAAGCTCTCCTCCACATCTGTCCCGGCCTCTGTGTGGCGAACCTGTGTCCTTTCCAGTCACATCTGCTTGCTAAAAGATGCGCTTCAGTGTAACGGAGGAAAAATGTCTCCTTGCTTTCTTGCCAAGAAGACTGACTTCACTCACTCCTGCTCTTCTTTGAAGCCTTTATTAAATCAGCTCTGTTTGTTGAATCAAAGAATGAAAACTGTGATCTCTCACAGATCTCTGGTCAGTTCAGTAATGCTTTCCTGCAACATTTTTCTGCAGGCTTTTATTTTTATTTAACTCCTGGCAAGAAAGCAAACCTGTTTCCCACCTAACTTCATAGCATGGACATTCAAAGGCACCTTTACCCTGGGTTGGCACAAACTGATATAAAGAAACAAGGGCTTGTAATTTCATTAAAGGTGTTGTTTTACTATTTCTTTGAATTAAGGTAAGGATGGAAACCACAGATCATATTAAGAAGTGACATCTAAAAATGTACACCCCTTGAATTTTTTTCTCATTTTGTCACATAAGAATAAAAAAGTACTTCATGTAGAATTTATTAGATAGGCCAGCATAAGATCCACACGGTTGAAAGTGGAAGAGAAATGAGAATTTTGTGACATTTTTATTCAGCTCATTTTACTTTAATACAGCTACATAAAATCAGCTTCAACCAGCTGCCTTTAGAGGCAACCAAATTAGCTAACAGAGTCCGAGGAACTACCCAGTAAGGCTAAGAGAGTATCCATGTTAGCTCTGGAGGAGCTACAGAGGCCGACGGCTCAGGTAAGGAAATCTGCTGAAAGGATACTTTTAGGTGTTTACTTCAGAATTAGGCCTCAATACAGAAAATAAAGTTTTATTTTTCATGCACCATGTAGAAGATGCTGTAGATCCTGTCAGATTAGACCAAAACTTTCTGGCCGACAGTGAGGAAAACAAGTATTTGAACACCCTGCTATTTGGCAAGTTCTCCCACTTAGAAATCATTGAGGGGTCTTAAATCGTCATCATAGGTGCATCTCCACTGTGAGAGACATAATCTAAAAAAAAAAATAAATTCAGAAATCACAATGTATAATTTTTTTTAATTATTTATTCATGATACATTCAAATAAGTATTTGAACACCTGTCCATCAGCTAGAATTCTGACCCTCAAAGACCTGTTATTCTGCCTTCGAAATGTCCACCTCCACTCTATTTATTTTTTTTAATTGGATGCACCTGTTTGTTTTACATGAAAAAATGGCATGACTTCAAATCATGACGGCAAATCCAGCTGATCTTTGATTGGTAGGACTCGAGTATTGAGCTGGAGCTTCCTGCACAGAAAAATGAGGAAGGGTTTCAGTTTTTACATGGTACAGACAAAACTGCATCACTGTTCTTCTACTTTATAATAATGAGCTACTATGTTTAGGTCTTGTTCGTGGTTTTGATGTGAAAAAGTTCAAGGGGTGAAAATGTTTACCTGGTTCTAAACATCTCACTTGTTCTTTTCTTGTTCTTGGTCTGTTCTTCTAACCAGAACCATTTAAAAAAAAAAAAAAAAACAGACCAGTGTTCATTAAAAGCCTCAGTTTCCTGCAAAGAATCTCTATAAGAATTATTAGAACCCCATCCTGTATTGTTAGTAATCCCCGCCTCTTATCTGTGTTTAGGTATGATAATCCTCTGAGCCCTCTGGGGCAGCACATCTCCAGTGAGCTGGGTCTGACAAAGAAGCACTTCTTTGAGATCCCCACTCCCCACTGCAACCTGGACATGGAGGAATATGAATATGAAGACGACTTTGAATGAATCCTGGAGCTGTCAGGCTTCACTGAAAAGCCCACTTATCACTTTTCCTCTTCCATATACAGTCAACTTGTGCAGTTTTCATAAAAAAAAAAAAAAAAAGATCAACAGATGCAAAACTAAAGGAGTAACTGTAAAAACCAGACGCCTTATATTTTCAGTCATACTTTTTTAAAATCATTGTTATTATTACCGGAGATGACTTAATAATGTTGGAAGCTGTAACCGGGTTCTTTTCTTCCACACCTTCCCTCGTCACATTTATACGCTTTTTCTCCAGGTTATCTTCAGCAAAACGGATCATTCAGGGAGTATAAACGTTGGTGTTTGTAATTATGGCCACAGGTGCCAAAAGGCATTCGTTCTACACCAGAGCTCCATGAATAGTTCACAGAAAAAAGGCCTTATTGATTAAATTCAAAGAGGATGTTTATTGGCTAATGTTACATTCCAGTAATCATATCAAAGGGGTTTTTCTGTCCTAGTCTAAGCCCTCTGCTCAAACCAAGCATACCATTCAGATGCCCTCCCCCCCATACTGTACATGTCTGCCTTCATTAGGACTATAATGTTTGTCAGAGTTGGAATTCTAAATTATTTGAAATGAATTTATAGAGCACTGTACATATTTATTATAATTTTGCCGTGTTGTAAATGATGTGGAGTTTTAGGCATTTTTCTATGGTTCAGAATACTTCATGTGAATGTGCTTTTGCAGGAAATAAAGGAACATTTGGAGTTTTTTGGAATGAAAAAATAAAGCTCTGGTTATAAAGCTAAAGGTAAGAAACTGTGCTGTTTTTTTTATATACATATATATATTAGTTTCATCTAATACAAACATGAGATTCTCAGAAAATTAGGAAGTGATTTTATTTTTTTTCCATATTGCCGTGTCCTTAACATTAAGGTAAAAGATCAGATGCCAAAAACAGTATTTTCTACAAGAGGATGAAGTGGATGGAAGAAGGGAACTGAGAAATATTTAGGAAAAAAAACAGCACAAAGGGAATACAATGCAGATATTAGACTTAAAAAGAAAAAAAATTCTTCTCAAAGACAAATATTTCACCTACGTATTTTACCTACGTTCTAATGGAAAGACACAATTTAGACATTTAAAAGTTTGTTCTTCTCCAGATGGTAAAATGCATTCAGTGGTATTAAAAGTGCGCGTATAGGAAGGTCCACCACCAAAGCAAAAGTTAGATCATGTTTGGTTTTATTCAACCTATTTATTTTAATTACAAATATAAAATGATCAAGTCACAATGTCCAATTTAACCTGTGAAAAAACCCATCAAATATAAAAGGATAAATTAGTGTCATTGAACCTGGGGATTCATTTTACGGTACAGCACTTTAAAAAAAAAAAAAACACAAAAAAAAGATACCATATATGAACATATAAAGTCATGTAGACATAACCAAACCCTGATAGCTGTTTAAGAGATCATTTCAGGCTAAATCAACCAAAAACCCAGTAAGGACCCTGGTAAAGATGGGACCATATTTCAGAGACGGTACAGACGGACTTTATGAACTTTAGGGAAAAATAAAGCTTATATCTACACTGATGCAGCTCTCTTTGGTCTCTGGACAGTTTAATTTATCCACATGTTTCTTTAGATGGCTGCAGCTTCACGTTTTACTGCAAATTTACATGATACATGTTTACAGGCTTGTGTTTCTAAATATCTTGTAGAATTATATGAGCTGTGAAAGTACTCTTAACCCTGATAACACAAACCCTGGCATGATTTTTGAGTCTTTAAATCATCCTAAAAGGTCATTTAAGACTTGAGTTTACATTTTCCTCAGCTGGTAACCCAAGACTAAAATGATTCCTAAAATTCAACTAAAAAGGTCACGCTGGGGTGGAAAATCTAATACCAGGACATTTATAATAATTAAAATGTTTTCTTTTCTTAAAAATGCATCCTAGAAAATAAAATTGAAATGTTTTTCCTTTTTTTTTTTTCTATACTTGTCCAAAGCTGGAAATGATACTAGAAGAAGTCAAACACTAAGAACCCTGTATCTTTTTAGAGTAATTAGAGTTAATTTGGCTCTTCTTCATCTACCAGCTTATTAACATTAGACATCAAGTAGTGCTGGAAGAAAAAAAGGTGCTTTGCGGTGCGAGAAGTCATACTTGGTTTGGGCCTTTTTATCATGTTAGAGCTTAAAACACTGGTGGTTCAGATCTGATCCAGAGCCGATGAAAGCCTTGTCCAGACAAGAGAGACGATCCACTTCGGTTTCCTGTTTCTCAAAGCTCGACGTCCACGCTGCCATCGTCTGACTCGCTGAAAACGGCTGAAGCTATGTTGTGGCTTTTCCTAGGAAGCTCTGGAGGAACGTGGAAGGGATCCATGTTGCCCAGGATCACCTGAGAACTGAGGTCACTTGGTTAAAATTAAGAGCAAGAAAATGTAGCTTTATGAATATTCTTCATCAAAACAGTTCTTACCTTTGGCCGATACTTGGTTTGTTAACCTTACTAACAGGATCAGTTAGACGAACTTGACTTGGGGACTTGTACCCTAAAAGAAAAACACTTTTTACACACTGAAAACTTTCAGACTCAGCCTTTCTAAGTCCTGTATGATCATTTTAAAATCTAAAAACCCTAAAGCTCAGAATGAAACTAACACAGAGGAGGTAAAGGATACAACTATGAGAAGGATGAAGGACTTGAGCATTGAAACAGAAAGAAAGACAGATGCAAAGTAAAGACAAACGAAAAGAAAGCTTAAAAAAAATTGGAATTATCGTTAATTAGGAAAAATTAATGATAAAATAAGGAAAGAAATGGACCCTAGAATGGAAACGATGCAAAGGAAGGAAGGAAGGAATTACTATAGGGTATATTATTATTATAGGTACAGCAAACATAAGAAAGGAATGACCATAAATGGAAAACGAGTTGAAGGAAAAAAGGATAATAGGAACACTAGAGTAACTACTAGAGCGACTCAATGTTTTGCAGTCTTCAAAGAAAAAGGATCCCTGTGTGTAATGCCACCACTGCACAGGAGTGCCTGCCTACAATGTTTCAGGAGGATATTATATTTCTTGTACCATGCATGTTAATTCTTCATTCCAATACTAAATTTGATCCCTTGGATTATAATTTCACTGCCATTGATATAACAGCTAACGTGAACTCTTGGTGGCTAAGTTGCTAAAGCTCCCGTATCATCATTGCAATTTTATCGTGCAGTTTAGAAAAGAAAGGAAGGATGCAAGAAAGGATAGAACCATGAAACAAAGGAGAGATTAATGACACAAGGAAGGATGCAAGTGTTAAAGGAAACGAAAAGAAAGAAATGAAGGCCAGGCCACACAATTCCCCTGTGTGAGTTTTTTTTTTAGACAAGACAAACCTTCTTCCCATAAAAAAAAATTGTTTTGATTCTGACAACTTTCCATTATTGTAAGGGGGAACAAACGCTGCCCAAGCAGAACAGGGCTGATTACCAGGCAATAAGGGCTGTATGATAAACTGTTCTCTTTTTGCAAAGATAAAAATAAAGTGCCGACTGAGTGAAATCCATCGATCTCCGTTTATTTAACTGTGGTGAATAGTTAAATACTTTTTTCCCACTACACATACCTTCCAATTTCTGTTTGGAGACGGGAGAGCGACTGTGGTAGGGCCTCCTGTCGGAGCTTACATACGACACGGCATCCTCCGCTTCTGCCACAGCCAATAAAGAAGCACGATAGTAGATAAGTGGCTGCCAGCGATCCTCCCTGAGGTCAATTATGTGCTCTGCTGTGTGCTTTTGCAGGTAGGAGAGCCTGCAAATACAGGAAAAAAAAAACAAAGTGTGAGAAATGTCAGAGTTCGTATCCCTCTGTCTTCCCCGTTTCTACACTCACACTGTCTTCTTGTCTGGTTTGAGCAGCTTGTTGGAGAACTCGCTGAGGATAGTCAGGTAGGAGAGGTACGGAGGTGTAGCGTTGTCTGGAGTCTGGTTGAACTCTTGGAACACAAACTCGATGCCGTGTCTGAACAGATCCACAAATAAACTCCAGCTACTTACATCTGATCAGACACAAACCCTGAACCGCTGGAGATCCGTCCCTCACCTGTGGATCATGACGAGACACTCACGGAACTTGACAAGGTCTCCGAATGTGAGGGCGAAGCGCCTGGCCAGCTCCTTGATGCAGGTGAACGTCTGCACTCCAGAGTGAGCTCTGCCACCGCTGTCCTGTTCCCGCTTCAGCTGCATAAACAGCTGCAGAGAGCAGAGAAAAAACACATCAGCAGCTCCAACTACGGAAGGAAAGGCTGATTTATTTTCTCTTTTTAACAAAAATTAGCTTTACCTGCTGCAAACAAAGCACGAGAGTACGAGCGCTCTCTATTTTATCTATTTGTCTGGTCCTGTAGATGGTTTCCTTAATGATGTCTCCAAAGTCGCTGTAAAGCTGGAAAGAAAATGAATGAGATGATGAAAATGTCTAAAGTTAAATGTAAAAAATACTTAGAAATGAAATAAAAAAATAAAAAGATTTCTATGCTTTATAGATTTAAAGGAGAAAGCAAAATACCTGTTTTTTTATTTAATTTTATACAGGATTGTTAGCGACGCGCTGTATTCGTGTTTCCCGGCCTGTACAGATATTTTACTTCATTTATATTCTCCTACGGCTAAGATATGTTTCCATTCACACAGAATCTTTCTCAATCAACTGCAGATATTCTTGCGTCCAAGTTTGCACACAACTTACAGAAGTATTTTTAAAAAGATGCAAAAGCTGCTGCTGCAATTGGGTTTCAGATTTGGAAAAATTGCTTTGCATGCGGTAAATGTTAACATTTGCATATCCTCCATCTATTAATGTGGGCGGTTTGGTCATTAGAATATGATCTGCAAAATGACGAAGGACACACAGAAAAAAGGTTTGCTTTCTTTGAAGATCTGCTCTGCACGTACAAAAACACCTGTTGGAAGATTTACTTATTAGGCCCTACGAATCACAACAACATTTAATTTCCCTATTGGGTTGATAAAGAATTTTTGAATAAAACTGAAAACAGACAGTTTTTGGCAAAAAATGAAAAAGTGAAAGCTCTTTAAAGCAGCTTTAATAACACCGGTACTACAGGATCACCAATGAGTGCATATCCAAAGCAAAGCTGGACTAACTGTAGTGGCGTCACCTGTGCAGAAAATACAGACCTTAAATGTCGTCATTAATGGGAGATTATCAAATATCAATGCAAACCAAATTTTGAATAAATAAGCATTTTTTATTTATAATTAACTAACATTTTGCTTTTTGTCAACCAATCCTGTTGGGCCTGATTCTAGGATCAATGCTTGCTAGATGCAGCTCATGCCCACTGTTGGTTCCACTCCTGGTCTGTTAGTCGTCCATAGAAGCCCTGAAGAACTTGCTAAAGCGTACGACATCAAGAAGTCAATAACTACACAAACATCTGGTGGACTCTGAGGTGGAACAGTGAGCTGAAAATGGATTGTTTCAGCAACAGTTAACAAATCAATACGAAATGAGATTTTATATTAATCTTAATGTTTATTCCAGTCCTTAGAAATAACAGATCCCCATTCCTTTTTTTTCTATTTGGAGCAGGGGCACCAATCATTTCTTTCTTTTGCATTTCTTTCCAAAGGTTTCCTTATAACTTTAATTAAAAGCTTATGTGCAATAAATACTTCAGCAATAATATTTTTTGATCTACTTCAGTGTTTTATCCATCTGGTGAGGAATCAAATGTGTCTGTGCCTGTATGGCAGACATATGGGGGATAGTGGAGGAACCCTTTAGTGGGATTTGATTTGACGACATCCAGCTTGGCTTTTTATCACAAATATAATGTGGCATTTGACAGACAAATGTTAGTTAACACACAATGCGATTTATATTGAACACGATTAAATCAGTTTCATAAGAGTTTAGGGCCTACAAATGAACTTTTACCTCAAGCTAAAAAAAAAATAAATAAATAAAACTAAACTTATTATGCCTTTGTGTCATAAACTGCACTCTTTTTTACTTATGGAGCAAAGAAAGCAAATTAACAGGTTGCTTATTTGACTGATTTTTACTTTGAACCCAAAAATTCTCTTCCTATCTCTGAAACATCAGTTAAGCTAAACATTAAAAGTCACAGCAGGGATAGTTTTCTATTCGTTACAATTATTCGTTTTTTAAGTTTTATTCATGATAAACCAAAAAAAAAAGTCTATTTGACTGTTCAACATTACAAGCAGGATGCAGACGGGTCAGTTTTTAAGGGCAGGCAGCAGTAAGCTAGGTTGGATCAGAAGATGGAAGTGAAGCTAATTTGTTTCTCAACATATCAACTTAGGGAAGGCAAAGGAGTTATGCTGCGTTTGATTTGTCCCAGAAGCAATGCTGGTGCTGTAACTGCACATCCAAAATACCAATGGGATTTATTAAATGTAGCATTGTAATAATAATAATAACACATAACAGCAGATTAATCTCCCTTCTATATGCTCAACCACTGCAGGAACCTCTTTAAAAGCATAGCATTGTGTTATAATCTCTGGTTTAATGAGATCAAACGATCAAACATTGCAGTAAAATTGGTACAACGTTCAGTAATCTATGTGTTGGCCTCCTCAAAGAATATTGAACCCAAGGCAATAGGCCAGGGTAGAAAGAATGAACGGGATTAATCGCGATTAATCGAATATTGAAATAATCGTCAATTTAGTAATCGATTAATCATTAACTGGAGTATAGAGACGTTAAAACATGCCTTTAGCTGACAGAGCAACCCAATTAGAGCCGTAATTATACCAAAACTGTAAAAAAAAAAAAATACATAGATATTTTGCATTTAATATAAAACAAATTCTTCTGTCAATATGCCCTGTCCAGAATTCCTCAAATGTAAAAGTTTTACTTTCACCTGGTTTAATTTCATCAAAAGTCTTCTTTAAGGGACCTTTTGCTATCCAATTATTAATCAATTAATCGAAATCGATCAATTTGCTATATAATCGTTAGTTGCAGCCCTACAATATAGCTCAGGCTGATGTTATTGTTTGGAAATACAACAAAATGTTCCATTATTTAGGTCATAAACTACCAATAAATCACTTCTAACCATTTTTATTTCTATAACCCCATTTTTAGACATTTTGTCTCCATATGAACCTCTGTTATTGCAGCTGCAATGCCTGTTGATGTGCATTCGACACACATCAGGAATCAAAGTTAGAACACTTTGTCTCCATCTAGTGGTCAAACTAAAAACAACATCCGATTCTACAGCCTTGAGCTACTTTTGAAATATTGGGTGACTGGAACAAATGGAGACAACATTTATGTAGTAACTCAAATTTAAATCTACCTAAAGAGAGGTCAGTAACATCAATAAAATAATCTAGTATATATACTGACACTGCAACAATTGTTGAATTAAGCTCATGATCAGTTAGGACAAACGTCATCAGTCTATGACAAATCAAAATGTTTATCAACCGTATGCGCTATATTTACTTAATAATCTGTTTAGATTAATTTCAGATGTTACTATATTATTTCAACATCAATATAAGCTAAATAAAAAGCCTTAGAAAGTCTGTCATGAATACCCACAGCAGAATCCTGTAGTAACTTATGACAGTTATTTTGCAATGTTTATAAAAATCCTCCTGTAAAGTTTTTAAAATGTTTCTTTTAAAAAGCAAAACTACATAAAATCCCCAAAACTCAGTCAGTGAAAAATTCTATAATCTCAGACTATAATGGATATGGAAATACCAAACATGTCAAACTATCATTATTGAATTACATTTCACTATAAATTGATATTGAATTTTCCACCATTAGGCAGTAAAGGTGTAAAGCTTAGCAAAACATACGTTTTAAACCTCTTTTAAGAAATATTCTTTTAGCATCTGACCTTAAACTTCAGTTGGTTATATAATTTTGACTGGAAACTCAGCAATTATTACTTATTACAAACCAGACTCTCACTAAAGATACATGCAAATCATCAAAAAAAATTGCAAAAACCTGACAGAGTTTAAAGTTTAAACAAGTTTAATAATTTACTCTACATAAAGTAAATCAATCAAAACTGCTTTTAAATAGTTTACAGTTCCGTTAAAATAAGAAATAATATAAAGTGCAAATAATTTGTTGCGAAAATACCATGAGATCAAAATAAAATTCTTCAAAAAATTAAGTTTAAAAAGGAAAAATAAATAAAATGCTGGCATAATATTCAATTACCGGTATATATATTGACAGATTTTAGGACGTAATATTTGCAATAGTCAATATAAATAAATAAAAAATAAATAAATATGACCAATATAGGTTTTAGGAAATTATCCCAAAAAGGTTATTAGAAACCATTGTTTTGATTTTGTGGTTGATAGTTTTTCATTTTAATTAGTATTATTATGACTGAAGTCTCTACAACAGAACTGTAATCTTCATCCTATCAGAAATAAGAGCTGCATTGATTTAAACAAGATCATCTCTATAAATGAAAACTTGAATGGGTGCAATCTCTAACATCAAACCTAAATCTAAATAAGTCATTTTTTCTCAAAATAAGTGCACTGTTCTTGAATTGAGGAGGTAAGTGAGACACTTTTCTAATTGAACAAGAAAATTTACATTTTAAATAAGAAAAAAAAATTGCATTGCATTGCATATTACCTAATTATCTTATTTACCTGCTTGAATTAAGAGTAAATAATGTTAATTTGAGATTTTTTTACTTATTTCTGGATCGTTTTTTGCAGTGAGGAATGAACCTTCACCTTCATGTAGTGCGGGTAGAGCTCGGCGGCCGCGCTCATCTCCAGCACTCCATGGACAATCAGCTTGCAGTAGGCGGCGAGCAGATTTCTTCTTCTGTGGAGATCCTCCAGTCTCTCCACTTCAGAGCATTCACTGACTGCGAGGGTGTGGTAGAAGCGTGTGATTAGATGTGAAACGGTCAAGAGGAAGAAAAAAAAACTTAAACATATGGGAATAAACCCAAAAGAGGGCTTAATCACACACAATCATATAAGGGAGAGGAAAAGAACAAGGCTTAAACTGGGAGGGGGAGTTTGAGTCTTGGGACAATGGCTTTAGCAGGTGGAAATCAAAGATAACATCAGACTGTAGTTATGGTTGTGACACCATGTGGCTTCAATCTTTCACTAGGCTAATAAAATGGGCTCTGAGGCGAGCCAGAGTTAATGGAATTTTCTCACGGAAAGAGATTGGCCTGATTTTTTGATGTACCTCGGTGCTCCTGCCCTCTGAGTAATCTCTGATCCTGGAGTTAATAGAAAACACTGTCCATAGAACAAAATCATTACCAGGAATATCCAATAAAGCAAAAGCTTTTTATTACATGTTCAAAAACCAATAATCCTGGATTACATTTGCTTGAACATTTAAGAGATTCCCACCAGGACAGTTATTGGCTTTTCTGGACTTTGCCATATTTGGATGCAATATGTCTGTAGAAGCAGAAGCTCTAATAAAGTGAATGAAACATTTTAGATATGCTAAATGAATTCAGAAGTTTACCTCCAGGACTCCGCAAAGGGATCCCCGGCATATTTTCTTTTACTTTTCTCCACATGCCACTCTTGTTTTGCTCATTAGGAACTGAAGAGAAGCACACATCGCCGTCATCGGTCTACACGCTGCTTCACTTTGCATAACAAAGTCGAGCGCACTTCCGTACAAATTACTCAATCCTGTTTCAGTCTGAAGGTATTAACAGGGTCTCCTTTGTAATTGGGGGTCAATTGTCAGGTCAGGTTGGAAATCAGGAGACGTTTACAGTCGGCAGGCAGCTTTGCTGCGACTTATTAAGCCAAACGCGTGGCTGTGCATTTAATAATCTGCATGGTTTCTGAGCACAGAAAACTGCAGCTCCAACCGGAGCGGAGGTGGAGTAACAGTGCCATCTACTGTGCAACACCGCAGGGATTGAAGATTTCAATGCTACTCTGAGTGCAGAGCTTTGCACTCCTTTGCAGGCCTTAAAAAAATAACTATAAACTGTAAAACTTTCTAAATTATCTAAAAGTTCCTTCATTTTATGCATTTACTTCAGACATTTACACACAGATTAAATAGAAAAAAACACAATGGAAGAAATTTACCGCATTTATTTCCATTGATTCTCATGATTGCAGCTTAACTAATAACAATTACAAATGGAGTTTCTCAAAAATCTGATTAATAATTACCGCTAATTTAAAAAAAAAAATAGAAATTTGCTGACTTGAATGATGTCCAGCATACGTCACTGACACCCTCCAGCAAGCATGTGAGCAATAAATGGTCAGAACTAATAAATCTGGCTCTGCACAGAGTCCTTATCCTGGAGCGGTCATGGAAAATTGAGTGGAAGGAAAATCTTATAGAAAAAGACATAAAAGAAACAATAATCATAGCCTTTAGAGCATTCATGATCTGCCATTCTGGACTTTTTGGTTCTGTTTTCATTTTGGTTTCTCAGTTATGCTTTATTTTAAGCTGTGTTGTTGTCAAAATTTCTTTTCAGCATTGTTGGTATAATTTATTCCTTGGTTTCATTTTAGTTAGTCATTCTTTTTTTATCTTTAGGTCATCCTTTCCATGGCCTCAGTTATCTCCAGTTCCTTCTCTTATCCTCTAGTTTTCACCTTGGTTAATCGATATTTTGTACACATTAGTTTTATTCCCCTTTAGCCTTATTTAAGTTCTCTTCTATTTACAGTTAAACCCTGTTTTCCCTGGTTATCCCTTGTTGTCCCCTAGTACTCCTTTCCTTTCCAGTTAGCTCCTCTCCTAGCTGTTTCTACCCACACCTGCACCCAATTAACTAAATACTCAAATCTTTGTTCTGTCTCCCATATATATTCCTCCTCTATTCCTCATAGCTGGATTCTCTTCATTTTTATGTATGTTCCTCCCATTTCTCCTTGTTTTTGGTTCCTAAGTTCCCTGCCTGTCCAGTCTGGATCTATGCTTCTGCTGCCACCAACTTCATTATACAACCTACAAGAACTCCACTCTACTTCTGTCTTTCCAATTGGTTCCTTTACGAACATCCACCAAACCTGACACAGCCCATTTAAGAGTCTGAAGGAGATTGCCAGGATGTAAAAAAAAAAAAAAAAAGAAAAGGAAAACAGCTGGAATCAGAACTTTATATCTTAGTTGTAGCAGGATATGGGAATTAAATGTCTAAGTCATTTTTTGGAACGAGGAAAAATGTCAAACACATCTTCCGTTGTCGAAGGATCAAGGCAGAGAAGTGGTGATAGTAAAGTTTGCATTTTGTATGGAAATAGTCCCAGAATCTGAAGAAATTAAGAATGAAGTTTCCACATTGCTGCACTGTGTTTTATCAACCATTACGTTAGAGTGGACGTCTACTGGGACCATCTAGAATTAGGGCCGATCATCTGACCACACCGTCTGAGGTTTGATGACCATGATTTGACTCGGATCGATTTAACAGTAATCTTTTCTGACCTAAACCTCATAGAGAATCTATGCTGAGCAAATGAAGACCACTATTACAGCACTATTACAGGCCAAAGCGATGCAGTGATTCATGCAAAAGCCCCAGAGAGCATAAACTGTTCGACACATGGAGATGCTGTTCAGTAGGCTGACATCTCCAGATAAAAAAAATATATATTTTTTGATTTTTTTAAGAGCCCTCTCCTATTTTTTTGTTCTTTTAAGCATTAATTTAGGTATAGAGACTCTAAAACACACCTTTAGTTGAAAGAGCATCCCATTCAAGGCAGTTATTATTGTAAAAAAATTTAAGAAAATATATAAACTCTTTTTTGTGTTAATATTATCTATCCAGAAGTCCTCAAAGGACATGGTTTTATCTTTACTTGGTTTAAATTCTGTGTAAACTCTCCTTTAAGGGAACTTTTGCCATCTGATTTTTTTTAGATCGATTTATCAAAAGAATCAACAGATTAATCAGCAACATAGTTGTTAGTTGCAGCCCTGCTGTTTTTTTTACCAGCCTTGCATATAATTTCCTCAGAATATTTATTCTCTTTTAGTTTAAAAGCCAAAATTGTCAAAAATATATGAATTTGTCAAATAAATGAATAAATCACATCTCTCACAAGTATAAAATAAACACTTAAGAAGAATTTTTAATTTCCTAGTTTATAGCAGATTGAGGTAAGTTGATTGTGATGTTTATTTTAACAGAGGATTTAGTTTTGTCACTTTTATCCTTTTCCATTTTAGACTATTTTTCTTCTTTTGCTTATACTAATACAGGATAACGTTTTTTCTCTATGCTCAAATAAAGACTGAAATATATATTTAAAAAAACACAAACTGAAAACATAAATCAAACAATATTTCTCCCTGAAATAAGAAATCTGTATAAACTTTTTTCTTCCATGTGAGCTGAACATCTGCTTTTTATGGAAAACATCAAAATCGATCAATCAAAATGCAAACATGCAGAAGATGTTGCAACATTCTGAGCACAGCATTTGTTTTCCATTTCCTAATCCTACCCCCCGTCTCCCCCTACCCCTCTCAGCTGGTCTTTGCTCACCTTTGCTGCCTGCTATTAATAATAATGCAATGTTGAGATCATACCTCTGCTTTGGTTGTCACAGTCTGGGACGACAAACACATGCAGGGATACGAAGGAGAGGAGCGCCCTCTGCAGTTTGGGACTGGGCGTGTAGAGCAGCGGGCCGAAGCAGGTGGGATCCCACACCTGCAGCTGGTATGAGTGAGCCATCAGAACATCGCACACCCCCAGAAAAGCCTAGAAGGGAAGGAGAGGTTAGAGAAAATGAAAGGAGAAAAAAAAAGATGAGAAAAATGTTCATCCTTCCTGCCGTACCTGAGTCCTCACGCCGTGGTCACAGTGGGAGAGACACCGATGGCTCCTCTCACAAAACAGTCGCAGCTGGAGCCTCTGGGCCACAGCCTTCTCCTGAAGAAAGGCAAAACATGTTGCGTCTCCAAATGTGTAAATACTAGCTATTAAAGAAAAGATTTCCAGACGGGAAAGAATAATACAACATCCATCCATCCATTTTCTGACACGCTTTATCCCAAGCGGTCCTCCAATTTACACAAAATTATTAATAAAGACAAAAAAAAGGTACAGAAAATGAATTTGTATCTCAAACCACATTCCTTGTGTAGTTTTTGGCATCATAGTAGAGAGATATATGATCAGCAAAATATAAATATTTAATCTAAGCTGTAAATTTGGACTTTGCTTTTAACAGAGGTCCATCTAAATCAATATATCATCCTTACTAAGAATCACCTCTATAACATGAGGTATGCTTAGAGTAAGTGAACCTGAGTCTTATTAAATCTAAGAACACCTAACCAGCTGCTGGGGTTGGTGGCGGCAGCATCATGCTGTGGGACTATCTGGCTCTCGTTGGTGCTGGTGGACTCAACAAAATGGACAGAATACTGAAGGTCGATCTCCTCCATACACTAAAACTAAGTCTATTTTTTTAATAAGTGTACGTTGACTTGATTTGAGTCAAAAAGTACAACGACGCACCGATGGATTCAGATTTTTGTAATTAAAACACTTAAAAAAAACATATCTATAATTCTATTTGAAGTGCAGCAACTCCAATGAGCATCAAATAAACTTATTTCAAGAATTTTTCTTTATTTAAGATTAATTAGTTTTTTCTAGATGGTTTAAATTCTGAGAAACTTGGCTGTAACAGAAAGCAAAATTAAACACAATTAATCCTGTGTTTGGAATATGTAAAACAGGCTCAAATTAACCTCAACCCTATTGGATGAGTATGAAATAAATCATGAAACCACAGATTTAAATAAACTCCACTTATTCTGCCCAGTACAGCCGTCAAACATCCAGCTAGAACATTGTTACTGTAGTATTCTTATGTCATCGAAGACTATAGCACCTGTAAAAAATAATCTGGGCTATATAAAATGATTAAATCAAGTTTGGATTGCAGAAAATTATTTTAAATTCACTGAATTTCAATCCACCTAAGAAGTCTAAGTTTAAGCTTTAGATCTGTTTTATTTGCTTTACCATCTGTTTTAATTTTTTTTTTTAATCTTTACTAGCCTTTTTTTGCTTCTATTTTACTCATTAATTTATCTGAGAGAACAGGCCAGATGCATGACTTAAGTTTGGCTGTCTTAACATGGATGTATTTTCCAATCCTTAATCAATTATCATATTAGATCCTATAAATTGATTCATCTTTTTTTGTATGCATTTTCCAGTCAACATTTGCAGCTCACACATTTAAATTCACTACTTTATTAATTTGCTGTTTAATGTTTATATAATACTAGTGTCAACCATTCAGGAAAAGGCTAAAAAAAAATTTAATAAAGGCAATTCAATTTAAGATCAGATTGAATGGAAACGAATTGATTCTACATCATGAGAATTACAATTAAATACATTTTGGAGTACATGATGCAGATGATCATGATGCAGATGATTGTGATGCAGATGATCATGATGCAGATGCAACCCACCTTGCAAGTTAAAGTTTCACTACTTGAGCAGAGGGACCACAGCATAGCGAATGACATGCACTGCAGTGCCTCCTCCAACAGCTGTAAAAACAATATACAATCAGAGAAAAAGACAAGAGAATGTAAACCAGAGAAAGCTTCTGATTTAGTGACGGAACCTCGGGTGGCGCTCCTCCCTGGCTGCTGTTGTCCATCAACAGAGGAGACAGCAGATCAAACACGCTCCATCGACCGAGGTCATGACAGCTAGCACAACACAGACAGAAACAGATTGGAGCGGGAAACGCATGAGGAAGCCAGTTTGGCTAAACTGTTGACTTCCTGCTCAACCTCATTAGTCACATCTTACTTGTGGAAAGCTTTGAGTTTCTTCAGCGTTGTTACAATTTGTCTGATCTTCTCTTCTTCAGCAGAAAAACAGCCTCCCTACAAAAAGCGAATAAACCAAAAACTGTTTTCTTATTTAGGATTCTGTTTTTTTTGTGTTGTTAATATAACAAAATGGAAGATCGGAGGTCTGTAGAGTTACACAGGTTCTGTAATTCACACCAACAACAATACAAACGTTATATCTGAAGAGTAACAAAAAAGCCATTTCAAAATATCTTAAAGAATTCAGACAGATTTTTTTACAACCAATATTCTATTTGCTGCTTTTTTATGTCGGCCGAATAAATTAGTAGATGAAGAAACCAACAACTGAAAACTGATCCTTAAAAAATTATTTGATGTCATCAATAATTATTTTGTATGTAATCAGTTTTTTTAATAAAATAAGGGATTCAACTAAATATAAATTTCTGCTCTAAGAAGGTTGTAATTTTAAATCATTGAATGGCTTTTGTTATGGACTCATAATCTAGAATGGTTATTCTAATTTGACATATTCTTAAATTATCATATGGAAAATCAAACGAAAAAAATTATTTAAGGAGAAACCTAAGAGTATTTTATTTTTAGAACTTTATTTTTTAGAAGTTTTGATTTTTACCTTTTAGGAAATTGAATAATAAACCAACCCCTGAAACTCATAGGGTTTTATGTAAAAAACTTACTGTTTTTTTTTTTTTTTTCTTAAAAAACCTAATACGACTTGGTAAAAAAAAATCTAATTTTTTAATTTATCACTTATAAATATAAAACCAGCAAAATGCATGGAGGACATACCAAAGTGACTGAAAACAGAGGACTACAGAAGTATTTCCAAAAAACACCTATCTGGCTATATGAAGCGAGGAATGACACCCACCCTGAGTGATTCCCCCAGCAGCCCTGTCAGTTCATCCACCCAGCGCTGGACCAGAGCGTCCCGTGAAGCTCTGGCTGCAGAGGACCAGGCTGCTCCATCGCCACACAGACTGAGGTAAGTCCGAGCCGCTGCTTCAAGAACCGCAGGACTCGAGTGGAGATCCAAAACAGCTGCCATCTCTGTCATCAGGCTAGAAACTAACTGCACAGTTGGCATCACATGAAATGGTTAACTATCTTTCATTTACATTCACATTTTCATAAATTATATATATTTTCCATCACTTTTGTGCTCCAAATATTTTAATAATAAACGAAAAAAAGATCTAAGATAAACTAAATTTCACATCGCTAAACATGTTCACCAATATAGTTAATTGTAATTTCTGAATTATTAAAAATGTAAATTGAAAACTTATTTTTCTCTTCATTATAATAACATAATCAAAAATATAAATTCAATTTCTAATTCAACTTTTTCTTAGCGATACTTTTCAAACATAAAAAATGCTTATTTTTTTTGTATCATTTAATATGAGCCCTAATGGCTGCAATGCCGACCTGTGAGTTTTTAGCCTCCTGACTATCTGAGTGGAAGTACTGAGGAATCCGCATCAGGGAAGCCACAGCATCGCCAGTGCATGAAAACTGCAAAAAACAGCAAAGTTATTCATATTATTATTGCCACTTAAAAATGGACAGTTTTTTTTTTTTTTTTTTTTTATCTACAGCTGTAGCTGGTATAAATACCTTGGAAAGTAACTTAGGGAGCACAGAAAACAGATGTTCAGTGAGGTTTAAACAGTCGTCAGCTTGAATTTTCTTCTCCCTGCTGCTCATGACCTGCAGCAAACAAAGTCTGCTCTGGGATTTAAAGGTTTACGTCGTACTAGATTAAACGTGAGATATCATTCAGCTTTCTTTCATTATTCAACCCCATCATACACTGACCTTCTTGGTCCCGCTCCTCCCTACCAGAGCTGGCCCCTCTGCAGCCTGACGTACCGACGCAACCAGGATCTCCACAATCACTGCTTGTTCTGCTGGAGTAAAACCTACAACACGAAAACCCATCGTTTGAAATAAAGGCACTGAAACATAGGGTTTAAATTGATTAGGAAAACCTTTGGATTCAACAATGTAATCAAAATATACTGAAATTATATCAGGTGAAGCAGAGAATATTCTCTTATATGTTTTGTTGCTGTCTTTTTTTTTTTTTTTTTTTATCGTTTTCAGTTTTGGTTCAATTGTATTTTATTGATTCCTAATCTATCTAAAGTTTCATTTTAGCTTAGCATATCCTCACTTAAATTAGTTTACCTTTACTTTTCTTAGATTATTATTGTTTAACTAACCGTATCTTAGTTTAGATTTATTCAGTCCATTTCAGTCATATTTTAGTTTCATTTAGTTCACTTTATTTTAGTTTAGCCAAATTAATTTAATCTTTAGTCTTCCTTGGTTAAATTTAGCTTAATAGTTCTTAGCTTAGCCTACTTTAGCTTATCTTCATTTATTTTATTGTTACCTAGACTTACCTCAGTTCTGTTCAATTAAATTCAATAAAAATTACTTTTTCTTATATTTAAGCTTTCCTAAGCTATTTAATCTTTTTTTTTAATCCATCAATTTTAGCTTTTCTTACTTTGATATAGAGGTTTTAATATAAACTTTTTATTTTAGGTTATTTTTTCTTATTTTGACTTATTTAAGCTTATCTCGGTTAAATATAGTTTATTTTCATCCAGTTGTACTGAGCTGGTTTTATTTAACATGTTCATGTGATCTATTGGCTGCTTCTTGGCCTTTTCAGTCACTGAAAGATTTTAACTAGTTTTACTATTATATACAGTTTATTTATAAACTATATTAAGTTCTCAACCCCTTTGTATGACTTTTTGTATTTCATGCCAGCATTAATTTTAAAAAGCTGAACAAATTTAATCAACAGCTCTGTGCTTTATGCTGCATTTTTGATCAGTCAGTGAATGCACCATAAATTAGTGGTTTAATGAATTGACTGTTTCTATCACATGGCAAATTAGTTCCCTTTAGGGCAGAGGCCACAAGATTCTAATACCATCATGTTTCTACTGACTACAGTACATGTTATAATAATAACTACCTATGCAAACTATAAATAATGCGTATTTATATAATAATATTTATATATATATACATATTATAATATATAAAATAATAAGTTTAAACTGTAATGATAGCACACATAATTTGTTATGTTATGTTTTTGATGCATAATGCTAGAAAAGCCATGACTTTCATATATTAGCTTTTATATTTTACATTTTACTATTGTCTAACACAGAAACTGCTTTGTTGTTTTTGTTTTTTTCCATGCCACATTATTTTCCTACCTGGGCTGCTCTGCAGCAGTGCAGCTGTGAGTGTCGGCCAGTCTTTCAGCAGAGATGCACCGCAGTCCCAAAGGCTGTCCACCAGATAAACAACATGCTTGTGGAGCTTTAGGTTTACATAAACAGGCAAAATGAATTAAATCATCCATCAAATATTAAATATAATAAAGGTAGATTGTAAAAATCGTCCAGTCTGGTTTTCACCTCAGACTCCTGATAAAACTGCAGTAAAGCTTTAAGTATCTGTTGTCTTTGCTCCTCTTCATTCCCTTCATCCTGATCATCAGAGGTAGGAGTTACAGCACTGAGAATCCTGAAAAACAAAATGTTTTTTTTTTCCTAAAAAACTTCTCTTATTCGTTAAGTGGGATGAAGGCGTTTGTACCTTGAGTAGAGCATCTCCCCTGCAGTGGCAGCAAGAGGACGATGAGAGGCGAAAACAACCTGAAGGAGCTGCTTGTAGTCCTCAGCAGTGAGCACCTCATCTGTAGCTCTGAGGAATGAATAGGAGTATAAAGAAAAAAATAAAAAACAAAAAATTAATCAACATAAAAACAACTCACCTGGAGATTAGCACCAATAGTTTCATCGTCTGCACTGCAACCTCGTTGTCCTTATCCAGCACCATGGAGACCAAACGGTTCTGGGACACAGTGGCAAAAGTTTTCAAGTCTTTTATTAAGAACTATTTGTAAAGGATTTTTTTTTTTATAAAAACGATTCAATAAGAATACTAGAATTTTACCACCTTAAACTCTTCACACCTCTTAAAACTTTTTCACTTTTGTTTTCAGATTTTATGTGACAGACTGATGCAAACTAATGCAGAACTAAGATGTGGAAGATGACAGAAATTATTTTTCAATCTATGACCAAAATTTCAAAAGTGTGGCATGGATCTGTATTGGTCTATAAAGGACATAAGTATGTAAAAATGGCTTCTATGCCATCTTTCAACTAAGGCTTTCTTCTGCGTAACCTTCAACCCAGGTATCAGCTCAATTGGAGATAAATTAAATATATATTTTTAGATCAATATGCAGCACTTAGTGCAAACTGATAATTGATGTGGCTGCTCTTCATAAAAACACTGTGATCAGATCCGTCAATCAATGAGTCATGTGACCCAGAGCGTGGGTTTACAGCAGCCTGTGTTTCCCTTAAACACAAAAGCTAACTAAGCTAGAAGTTACTGTAGGCCAACAAACAGGTGTTATATTTCATTGATCAGATGTTTGGTTCTAAATGAAGGAATTAATCTACACACCTGAATGTGGCCGAGAAAAACATGGCCCGCTATCAGATTCCTGAACCGGTTAAATTTGTGACAGCGATTGCTTTCAAGGGAGCTAAACCTGGAAGTTGTAGTTCGAGCACCCCTAAATGTTCCAGAGAGTGGTTTAAACCAGTTCACTAGGAGTTTATGATGAATAGATTTTTGTTGTTGAACAAGCTGAGCTGCCGATCACTGCAGCTCCTCCAAAGTTAACGTGGGCTTCTTGGCTTCATTCCATTCGGGACGATATGAAAGATTTATTCTAATCTTTAACAAAGCTTGCTCACCCTGTAAGTTTTTGGTAGGCTCCTATTTGTTTCTGTTGCAGTTTTGCATGATATATTGAACAGAGTTCTGCTATCGGTCCAAACCTTATTTTGTTGATTTTCTGCTGTAACTTTGCCTGGTTTAATTTTCTTCCAAAACTTTCTCCCTGACCTGTCTGCTGTCTTCTTTGGTCTTCATATCAATATCTGATCATTGCTTTTTTAACACTTCCCTAAAGCCTTTGTTGTCGGAAAATTTTGATTTCTCTTATTTCATATATTAATGTATCCTATTTACTCACTATAAAAGTTTTCACTCAGTCTCTTTCACCTGCAAGGCCACCCAATTCTCTGCGTCAGGATGTTTGTAGACCAGACATAGCTTCTTCCCATAACAAACCAGTGTGTTTCTCAAGGTTTATCAATAACATTACAGTTAATGAAAGTGTCTGTAATTTGTTTTGACTCTGACTACTTTCCATTGTTGTAAGTAAGGGGGATGAACGTTGCTCAGGCAGAACTGGGCAGAATGCAGTGCCATAAGGCCTGTATGATGAACTGTTCTCTCTTTGCAAAAATCTTACGAATCAAATGCCGACTGAGTGAAATCCATTGATCTCCATTTATTTAACTAGGGTGAATAGTTGAATACTTTTTTCCCACTACACTTTCTAGAGAAGTGATTACCTTATGCTGGGAAATGTAAGATAAGTTAATAGGTAATTCAGTAATTAAGGAAAATTATTTAGCTCGATAAAGATAAAAATCATAAATCACTCCAACAAACAAAGTAACAAATGGAAACAAAACCTCTAAATCAGTTACAGACGGGTTACAAACATTCATAAGCCATAATGAAGAGATGAAGGCTTAAAACTGGGAGCTTGTTTACCTTAAATCGACTGGTAAATAGATCTAGTTTGGGGAGGAGGACAGGATCACCGAACAGACCCTGCAGAGCTAACACACACTTGAGACGCACATCAGGGACCTGAAAGGTGACGTATAAAGAGTGTCAGCTGGTTTTCAGTATCATAGAATCTACTAAGTTTAGGACTTTCCTATGAAAGTTTACAAACAAAGCAGCCGACCTTATCATGCATCATCCAGCCCATGTATTTGAGGTAACTGTCATTGAGGAATGCAGAACTGTAGAGCTTCATCCACAAGCCTAACTCCTCCATGCAGACAGAGCGGATATCTGGAAGAATGTCCCTGCATAAAAACACAAATATATTCAAAAGAAGAAGAGTACCCTTTATATAAAAAAAGTAGATCGTTCAAAAGAAGAAAAAAAAAAGTTACAGCAATGTATGAAGTGTTGTGTACCGATATCTTTTAAGAAAAACTCCTTTGACGAGGATGTCCATCATGCTCTCAACCTCCGCTTTCTTTTCCTGCAACTTTTTAGAAGCATCAGAGGACACAGGGCAGGCATTAAAGTTTGATTCCTTCACACAAATGAAAAAATAAAAATGTCCTACCTCAGAGATCTTCTTCTGTATTCTTTCCAGCTGCTGAGAGCTCTTCTGTCTCGCTGTCTTTGTCCTCTGCACGTCGTACAGCTTCTGACTGTTCTCAACCCCAACACTCAGGCTCAGGGCGACAGTGAGCAGAGAGCTCAGCAACTTCACAGCTTGTGACACACGTCCAGATAAAAAGCCAGAGTCCATGTTATATTTTCTCACTATGATTGAAGCATATGTGTATGGAAAGCCAGATGGACCAAAAACAGCTGACTTTTTGTGTTCTTTTTAGGCTTTGTTTGCATTTAATTCAAACATCCATTCAGTCAGAGCATACTGTTTTTTTGAGAAACATGCCGATATGAATTTAGTGTCTGCACAAACAGGGCATAAATGACCCTTTAACATATCAAAGATGATTCAGAGGCACAAAATTTTCCATGTTTTTGGCCCTCTTAATTTTCCATATCCGCGTTGAAACGTATCGCCTCCCTTACCTGCGAGGGTGCACGTGTGTCTGAATGCCCTCATGAATGAGTTTGACAGCTCGGTGAGCAGCGAGATGAGGCTGCCCATCAGGTAGCTGTCAAAAAGGACGCTGTGCTGACACCGAGCCACCAGCACCGACACAAAATCACAGAGCTCGGAGTGAAACCAGCGACCAGACGGTCCGGACTGCGCGAGAGGATAATCCGCACAATCCTGCAGTGGAGAGGGAAACATAAGCAGTGGATCAGTTACAGAACATTAAGCGTAGCTCTACCTAATTATACAAAATCAGACATTGTATACAAATTTTTACTTTTTTTTTTTTTTAGTAAGATTATGATGTGATTATTTTTCCAATTCCTGTAAATAATTTTCAGTCACTGTTTCTATAGCTTTTAACTGTTCTTTTGTTTTTCATATTAGGCTAATCATTGTTTTGTGTTAGTTTCTATTGAGCGTTTTTAACGTGTTTCATCTAAATTCATACATAGTTTCAGTATTTTTCTCACTTTAAATGTGCAGAATGCTTTAAAAATAAGCATTGATTGATTGATTGACCCATTTGAAGCCTGATGCAGAGCAACAATAAAGTAAATACAGTAAAGATCAAAATGTTTATGTAATTTTAAATAGTTCCCTGAAACCTTCTAAAACATCACATTAAAAAAACGAAACGTTATAATCGTTTTGTATTAAATTAGGAAACAGTAACTGAAACTTAAATTATTCTATTAGGGCTCTGAGGCATAAAACTACTAGAGGTCGAAATTTCCACCTGCGCTTAAATATTTGATTAAATAGAAACGAAATCTGGATGAGATGAGTCTGCAAAGATGAAGTCTTTCCAAGCGTGCAGCTTGTAGGACTGCCTGAGAGGCAAGTTGCTAAAGCAGTTTATTTGTTATTTTTAAGTCTTCTTTGCGTGTTACCTATGTGCTTTTAAAAGAGCACGGGAACATACCAGATAGGATCCAAGTCATAGATTAGATCAAAATCTAATTTTTTAAGCAGCAAAGTGTGCGTTTTAGGAGGAGAGACAACACAAAACCCAGCAGTTTTGTTCTGTTGATTCACAGGGACACAGGAAGCACTGATGGACAAGAAAAAGATGAATAATGTGACTTTAAAGGAGGTTGATGTTTTCTTTTTTCAAAGACCTGGGAAAAACACCGTTTGTGAGATGGAGCATAGAGAAGGAGACAGAAAGAGAGCAGCATAGCAGCCATTAAACCCAAGGATCTCAATATCTACCTTTTGAATAAGGCCGGGCATACGCTGTACGATATTTTCCAACCATTGTACTCAGCTACAGCTCAAACTGACGAAAACCACAGGGTTTAAAAGTTCACAGCTGACGATGCATCTTCTTCCACTGTGCGGCCTGAAACTCTGATGTGAGCTACCTGCTCACAAACCACACGTTGGACCGAGCACCGAGAGATGGTGCTGGTCAGACTTGTCAATCTGGAAGCAGAAGAAGAACTCCCCTGTTTGCAGATGTGCAGTGCTTGAGGTTCTGGTAAATCGGCTCGTAGCTCTGCTTCAACAGCAGGATTTCCACGAACACCTTACGACGGGCGACTGAATTTCAAACATGTTTGATTTTCTCCCGACCTTAAGATTCCTGATCAGGAGGTGGCTGTGACACCATCCTGGAAAGAATTATCAGCTGTGTTGCTGCCATCAACACCTTTATTTATAGATGTTGGAGATCGGCCTGTTTTTCAGTGTAATCCTGTTTCTCTGACTGTCACTGGCTGGAAGTGGTCTCTTCATCCTCTGACATGGGAGCTGGCTCAGAGCTCATCTGCCTGGCTGTGTGTTTCCTGAATGGGGCCGCCTTTTACAGCTGCTTTTTGTAGCTCTGCTTCTGTCTGCTTGAACCCCAGTCGGCCTCAGCAGATGGCCGCTCACACTGAGCCTGGTTTTGCTTGAGGTTTCCTCCTGTTAAAAGGGAGTTTTTCCTCTCCACTGTCGCAACAAGCATGCTTAGTGTGAGGGATTGTATTTGAGCTAATGAGTCAATGCAATCAACTTTTTCCTTAGATAGAAAACTTTGAATCAATTTGACTGTATGGTCTGGTTGAATAGTAGTAAAGTGCCTTGAGATGACATGTGTGGTAAATAAACTGAATTGAGTTGGTAGTGAGAGGCTGATCGCCCCTCTTTTCCCCCTGTATACTACACGACGCAGGGCGCACGATGTTTCTCGCACGACTTGAAAATCGTCCCCAAAAAGGGAAAAAACACGTACAGTGTATGCCCGGCCTTAGGGGATAAGACTACTGCTCCTAAACAGTTAGAGCTAGTTTCTAGTTCCCACTCACTCAGTTTGGCCCACAATAGAGAGCCTTTCATGAAAACTGGTTTAAAAGTTTAAATGGTTGGAATATTCTTAAATAAATGCCACTTTCTGTTTTACGATACATTAGTGAATGATGCGGTCAGTAAGCTTCAAAAATTGAGAAGATTTGTAGAAAACAGTTAAATGTTTTTTGCCTTGACAGAAAGCTCTCTCTGCACCCCTAAACCTCTAATCTAGAATAACCCCTGCAGTCTAAAAATGTAAGGTCCTGAAATCTCTGCTTTAGTTTAACAAAAGATCCTAATATGTGCATCTTTAGGGATCTTTTGTCCTTTTTTTTTTTTTTTTGCATTCAGTTTTGTAAATTTAAAAAAATTGGAAACTTTTTCCTCTTTATTTTAAACAAAAACTAAAATCCCGCTCTCCCGTTTTATCTTTCATCTTGTTCACAGACCCTAAAGCTTCCTCTTCCTATGTGTAGCCGATTGCTTCAGCCAATGCAGTAACGACAGCAGAGAATCTATATACATAAAGTTTATTACAAGTTAATAAAAATGCATATCACAAAAGATGCAAAAAACTTTTAAAGTCCTCAATATATCAGAAACGATAAATACATAATCTGCTTGAGAAAGAAAGCATGTACTGACTGCATCCATTGGCCAGGTGACTGTCAGGATCCATGGAAAAGCAAGAAAACGCTTGTACTGCAGACCAGCGCCCTGAAACACACATGCATCCATATGCATTTAAGCCAGTGCATTAAAACATTCCTGTCTTTACACAATTAATATACCTAGAATAAAAAGGATATACCTCATCCAGCTCCTCAACCATCTTACTCTTCACATCTTTATCCTCTTTATTGTGGCACATCTCTGCTGTCACCACTCCTAGAGAAGATCCAAGAACAACAGGACACACACATAAAACTGGTTTATTTTGTCAGGATACTGGGAGGAGGATAAAAATGTACATATTTGCCGGCCTTGCTTGCCTTTGCATCCACAGCACTGGATGAAGAAGCTGATGAGATCTAGTAGAGAGGAGTCTCTGTCCGCTCCGTACGCTTCAATCCAGTCATCTATCACGGCCTACGATGGCGACAAATACCAATAAGAGAATTCACCTATCTAATGCATATTCTTGTTTGAACCTTGATCTAATATTTAATTTTATTTAGAAAGAACTTTGGGTCCTGGATGTATTTCCTGTTAATCATTTCACACCAATCAGACTTTTTCGTGTTTAGTTCTGTAAGCAAATATTTGCCCTCAGATATCTTTCAGTGTTGCTTTTCTGTCATGCATTAATGATTCAGAGCATCAAACTAATGGTGAATAAATAAAGGTTTTCAAAGGATAATTGCAATTATTAAAGAAAAAAAAACTTTCTAAACCAACCTGAACCAAGATAAAAATGTAATTACCCCCCTTGGCCAAGCTAGAAAGGGCTAAAAAAGCTATTTCTATTTGTTTGGGATTCCAGCAAATCACAGCAGGAGTTATTGTCCACCAGTGGAGATAAGATGAAACAGTAGTGGTCCTTCGAAAGACCACATCATAACATTTAAAGCACCGCAGACTTTATTTGACTCAGTTCAGTGTCCTTGATGCATTAATAGGATCAAAACAAAAAGATGATAAAAATACAAAAAACATAGTTTTTCTTAGAAGAATACCCATCACGCATGCGTTTAGACATGTTGGTCTTGGGCTGCATTGGGGATTTAGAACCTGGATTACTTCAGATTATGAACAGGGAAACAAAGTAAATAAGGATTTGATAGATGGAGCGACAAAATCTTAAATAGTTCAGGCTTTAAAATCCTCCAATCTGGCTAAATTAAAGTAGTTCTTCAAAGAAAAAAAACATCCAAAATCCCCCCAACATGATGTTTTCTTCCAGTTACCAGAAATTCTCGAAGGCAACCGTTGGCATTGCACAGTCAGGAATGACTATTAGGGCCAATTACTTTTTTTTTTTTACAAACAGCCATATTGATTTGAAATTAATCTCATTTCAGTGCAATAAAAAGGCGTTTCTAGCCCACTTGCGTGATTACTTTCCAACTTTTATATATGTAATACCATAAAGGCAACATAAATACCAGCTTAGGATGTCTAAGCGTACTGATGCTGATTAGCCGTCTTACCTCTATGGCACTCTTGCCCATGGTGATGACTTCAAACAGGGTGACCGCCTCCACCTGCTTCTCTTTGGCATGTTTATCCTGTGCCTTTCTAACCCTGCTGCCGCTTGCTCTGGCTCTTTTGTGTTTGACATTCTCCGAGACACTGCACGCTCTTTTTCTTCTTCTCTGCATAATTAGATTTTCATATTATCAGTAAGAAAAATGAATTTCTTGAAAGTCATAAAGCATTTTAATTCACAAACTTATAGAGGAATACCTTCAGAATTTGATGATTCTAAGAAATTATGAAAATGCATAAAAATATCCAGATATTTACAAATATTATTTTAAAATGAGAGTGCAAGCATTTAATTTACCAGTTAAACCTCATTACATTTTAAAATCTCTTTATCTTGACCTCGTTTTGCCAATATTCAGTCTTTTGGACAGCTCCCGTTGCATAAGGAGCTCATCCTGTTTGCTCCAAGGATTTTAACAACATTCAAATTATTCTAGTCCTTAAAGGAGTAAAATATTAAAACATGTTGGGATTCAATTAAAACCTGTTGGAAAATCTGGAGTGCGATTGTGGTTTGGTTTTTCTCATGTGGACTCTTTGTTCAAGAAAAGCAAAACATTAGCTTGCCATGTTAACACCACTCCTGTCTCTGTTCCACCAAAAGTGAAAGTCTTGTGCATAACCAAGAAATGGAAAAAAAAAAAAAGGGATGCCAAATATATACATAAATCTTAAAACAATTTATTTATGACTACTTAAGAAAATACCAGGTTGACTTTGTGCACATAATAAAAAACAAGGAGCAGAGGACACAGCCCTGAGGGGTGCCGGCGTTACACCATATTCTGTGCCCCATATTTTGTGACCCAAGGGGGCGCTACATGTACTTTACCACAGATTTTTTTAGGTATGTGTTTTGTGTCATTGGGCATAGGTAATAATCCTGTGACATAAGTGTTAGTAGATACAGCAGGCTGGTGAGGAGAATCCGCAATAGAGCTTGAGATAGGTCACAGAATATAGTGTAACACAATTAGGGAAAACACCAAACTGTGTTTGATCAACAAGTTCAAGTTTAGGGCTGTACACAATAGTGAAACAAAGTGGCAGACTAGTGGTTAGAGCACAGAGCTTATAATGGGTCTCTGAGCAAGACCCTTAACCCCTGATTGCTCCCTGAGCGCCGCACGATGGCAGCCCACTGCTTCTCAAGGGGATGGGTTAAATGCAGAGGTAAATTTCTCCTGTGTGAGATCAATAAAGTTCAATTATTATGTTTGTCATTTTGAACTAAACTTCGGTAAAATCTGAATAGTGTAGCTTTAATTTGATACCCCTAAAAATAAAAACAACCAGTTGCTCTTAATAGCATCCTAAAGTCAGGTGGTGAGTAATTTATCTAATGAATTATGATAGATAGTGGTAACATGTTACAGGCTACAAATGACCTGCAGCGCAGTTATAGCTGAAGGTGTTTCATCAAAGTATTTAGGAGATTAATACAAATGCATGTAAAATGTTTCAGTTTTGTTTTTTTCTTTTTTTAATTGGGGCACATTTTTCGAAATCTTTAAAACACTTTTTTTTTATCTACAACAAAAATCCCAATAAAAGTCATTTAAATCTGTAGTTGGAATGTGGCAATTATAAAAAGTTCAATTGCCAAGATCCTTTTTGTGAGGAAGTGTTTCTATAAAAGCATCTCTACACTTTCCACTTTTAATTGTTTTACTTTCTGCAGGAAAACAGCATGCAGAGAATGAGTAAAAGTAACCCACCACACTCTTCCGTCTGTTCTCATTCCCTGACTCATCTTCAGAGTGACTGACAGCTCCAGCTGAGGTAGTCCCAACCTGAGAGTTTGCACTAGAAAGACAGAAAACATCACATGTGATTACAGAAGGACATTTTAATCCACATTAAACAAAACGCCTTCCACTGTTTTAGTAAACATGTCATTACTTTCTATCTGAAGACCTGGATGCAGCTGCAGCAGAAGATTCTGGTATCATTTCCTCCTTAGATCTTCACATCAGGTTCACTATATATGACATCATCCTTGGGAGCTTTGACTGGATGCTTGTGCAAACAACAACACATGTTAGTAAACCATAACAACAGCTCTAACTTTGTCTCTCTGCTAAAACATCTGGTCTGGTCTCATTTGCCTAACAAAAATATAAACAGCCCACATGCGACAAATGGGAAAACTTAATTAATATTAGATTTGCTTTTCATAAAAAACATGTGATCCGTGAAATTTTAAAGAAATATCTGCAGCTTTTTTACCCGACAAAACCTGCCGCCGCCTTAGCAGTGACCTACAGGTCACTCTGAAATCTTCAAAACCTACTTACCTCCATTACACAGATTCATAGGTTTATTTATTCGTTATTTTTTGTTTCGGTTTTTATCTGCAGACTGTCATTTCAAAGGTTTCCTCTCATTTCCTCCGTCGTCGCCCCAAACTCTCACAATCAAGGTATCGGACAGCCTAACCGAAGCTGATTGGCTAGAAACTGGAATGGAGAGATCTGATTGGCTGATCTGGAACGTCACTATGTTTTTACGTCCCTCCTCTTGCGGCTGTGGCAGGCAGCAGAGCAGACTGGTTCGGTCTTTCCTCTGTCCGTTTGGGTTTCCTTGTCTCTGTCTGCCACATCTGGCGGCACATCTACAAGAAAACACGCCGTAAACTATTGTTGATATAGCCTGTATAACCATTACTGTTTTTACTAATACAGTAACACGATTTAAATCATTAAATACTCGATTCAAATTAATTTCCTAATTGTATACCTTAGCAACACTAGGGGGCGCCATTGGTCTAATTTTGGACCTTTTTTTATTTTTGAAGAACTACTTTAATTCAGCCAGATTGGAGTATTTCCAAGCTTGAACTATTTTGAAATTATTAAGTGGGGAGTGGTGGCCTAGTGATTCCTGAGGTTGTGAGTTTGAAACCTGATCCCACAGACTGCCACTCTGGGTCTCTGAGCAAGACCCTTAACCCCACACTGCTCCCCAAGGGGATGAGTTAAATGCAGAGGTAAATTTATCCTATGTGAGATCAATAAAGTTACATTTTAATTATTAAATGGAAATGATTGTGTGATCATAACTGATTTATAGCAGTAAATAAAAAAAATAAAAACTGACCAGGGACAGACATAAGATACAAATAGAGATTATCACTCAATCGTGTGTAAAAGTTCACTTAGTGAGTGTATGAACTGTGTTGTTTAATGCATTCCAGTACACCAAATCCCTTATATGTAATGTATCCAGTCGGTCTATTGTTTCTCTGTCATAACAGAGCAAACACCACATCAAATTTTATTTGATTTTATTTTTTTTTCACATTATTAAAAAGAAAATGACAATTGTATTTACAGTAGTGCAAGGAGGGTTTCATCACGTTATCATTATTCAGTCCATAACTGACTCAGTATAAGTATGAACAAAAGCCAGGCTGAGAATGACACAAATTTAACTTAATTTGTGAATAAACTAGATAATCCAGTTCATTGATCCTCAAGTTCAATCAAATGGTATAGCACCTTTATAATGTCAAAGACAGTTCAGTTGATTTTGAAGCAGGATCCTTTATGGAGATGATTTTAGTTCAGGACAAGAACTGAGAGACAAAGCTGCAGGCCTGATGAAGGTCCTCCATCAGCTCCTCTGGCAGTGACAGAACCAGCGACGTCAGACTTTGAGTTATTTCTAATATCCTACAAGAAGGAACACAACATGGCCTCTTAATCAGATTGTCCCTGGATTAATCACTGTTGTCTCAACTCAGCGCTAAGGTTTGCAACTCACCAGCTGATGTAATGAGCTGTCAGCTGAGGCTCATGCCTGCAGCCTTCCTCTACCACCAGAGACTGCTTCATCTGTTTGAAGTTGCTCTCAATGTTCTTCTTTATTTCTGAAAAGGTCTTAATTCCCCTGAAAGAGCTGATGACTTGCTTTAAAAGAGAAACACAACCGAGACATTAAGTAATAATCAGAGCAGTTTAAAAGACTGCATAGATGCAACCAAATGAAAGCAGAGGATAGATTCACCCTACTCACGTACATATATGACTGAGAGCTGGTGAGCTATGTATTTGTGACTACCCAGGTGTCTGATGTCCTCCTCCAGCTGCTGACTCAGCACCACCAGTTGATTCAGTTTGGCGACATGGAATAAGTATCCTGTGACAGGAAACAGGAAACTGTATGCAAAAGGATTTACACCACCTAAAATTTTTTGCATTGTGTGACGTAACCACTTCTTTTAATGTTTTCTATCCAGATTTTCTAAATTAAACCAGCACAGAATAGTGCACGATTGTCAAGTAGCTGAAATAAAAAATTTTTGCAAACACAAATTGTAAAAAAAACAAAAAAAAACAATGTTCATTTGTATTTAACACCCCTGAACTATAAAAGCTCAAGCTCAGTCAGACTGGATAGAGAACATCTGAAAAAAGGGAAACTTTCAAGTCCATTTTTGCTCCAGATTGTGACAGCTCTATAATGAAAGATCTATGTGTTTTGTGTTCTTCCTGAATATTTAGGGTTGTTGTCCTGCTGAAAGGTGAATATCTCTACCACTTCAAAGTCTTTGTAGCGTCTCAATGATTATCCTCAAATTGTATTCCCACAGCATCATGCTGCCACCAACATGCTTCACACATGTTGGTTTCTTTCCCTTGGCATGTATCCGCTGTTTGTGTTGGTGTTTCTTAAAAAATAAACAAAACAGTGTATTTTTATGTACGTTTACCAATACAAAATGTTAACAAAATTAAGGAGAGTAAACAATATATATTAAAAACAACCCAAAATAATAAAGATTGTGATTTTTCTTTTTTGGTCTAAGACGTTATCAACCTAATTATCTGTTATTACTATAACAGGTTATAGTAATAACAGATGTTGCTATAGAGTGTAAAAATAAAAGCAAGCAGTTTGTTTTAGTTTGCAAGGAATGATTTAAGCTTTCTCAGCTGGATTTCTCACCATCCATCAGGGGCCGGTCCAGCATGTCAACAGGACTGCCTTGAATAAGGAAGACTTCTACCCGAGGAAACATGGCTGACAGACCCACCATGTCCAGGTAGTCCTAGGAAAACATGTGAGGACTGATTATGAGCCAGAAAAAAAAAGAAAAGAATATAGCACTATATGGTGTAATACCTCTAACTGTGGCATAGGCTTTGGTAGATGTTCAAGGCACTGCAGCATTTGGTCAAGAATATCGGATCCTAATGGAAAAAAAAACATCAAATCAACAGAGTTTAGTGAAGAATCCCCCCCCAAAAGTTTGTTGGCTTCACACCTTGAGTCTGAAAGGTGTCCGACTCCTCTGGGCTACAGCCTTGTCCTAACTGCTCCTGGAACTGTAAAGTGGATAAGCAAAATAGATACCATATTAGTTACCATATTAGCTCTGATTTTACTGATGGAGGTTTGAGAGATGCCCTTTTGAGTTTGCAAAATTTGCAGCTGATGTGCTGTGAAACTTTCAGTGGACTTTAAAAGAAAGATCTTCAGTCTCGTAGGGGTACATACAGTAAAAAGCAAGACAAAACATGTTCCATCTTTAATATGACATTGATCATTTATTTGAAGAACCTTTATGCAGACTGGGAAAGGATTCTGAATAAGAGTTAAATATGGTTCAACAAAATATTCATGCAATGCAAGGTTAGCTAAAAAAAATAAAATAAAAAACAATTTAAAAAATTGCAACCTGCTTTGCAGTTTAGCTCTACAGGATCTACCACAATAAATGTAGCCATGGTGTCACTTTTTATCATTTAACAACCTCGTGTTTTTTTAGGAGAAGGGTGTTAAATTTTTATTTTTTATTTTTTTTTTTACGGTCCCAGTGGTTCATTTTTCTGACAGTAGGCTGACAGGAAAGGTGGTATGAGAGAGGGGGAGGGACATGTGGCAAAGGACCCGGGTCGCCCGCTTTGAGGATTAAGGCCTCCGTACAAGTATTTGCAGTTTTGAGCAATTTGCTTCTAGACAGCCAGTACAAATGGCCCTGGACCCTGTGATGGCCCCTGTACTAAAGAAATAATACTAAATGTTTCTAATTGTGATATGTGCTGGCATGGAAACCAATGTGATTAGTCTCTTGGAACATTTTTATCATTTTATTTGTTTCTATTCTTTTGAATATTGACAAAACATGTAAGTTGTACTAAGTGGCGTCCTGACACAACAATAGGCCTGTAAGCAATATTATCTGGGTGGGTCCCATATGAAGTACAACACCCTATGGGATATAAATAAGGTCTGGTCTATTATTCCAGTCTCAGGTGAATTAAAGAAGAATTCTTCGCACCACTACACCTGCAAAGAGACATCCTAGTCCCCAATTGTGTAGGTGGCCTACCAGGTTTCAGTGGCGGGGCCCCTAAGCAACTGCAGTCTTACGTCTTTTTATCTGCCAAATATTAGTTGCTCATGGGTGCAAGTGGCTCTTTGGCTCATTTAAATTTTCAGTTAACTATCACTCTGTTTCATTCTTTAGTTTAGTGCCCCCATGCAGAAGAAAAAAAGAAACAAACAAACATTGGCCCCAAATTTCTGGTGTCCTTTGTGCATTAAGAGGTCAGGGGTCAGCCTACCTGTTGCATCTGAGCCCTGATGAGGAGGTCCAGTTGCCCACAGAGGCACAGCATCTCCAGCCCCACCTGCTCAGGACTTAGTCGGACAGGCATCAAAGGTCGTCTCACCTGCAGCTCCACTGACCACACCATACATCACCACATCAACACCTTCTTTTGATTATTACTTTATTTATTGTTTATGCAATTCAAAGCTGCACATAGAGGCCAGTCTGGGACGCATGCACCGGGGGGGGGTTGATGATGATGATGACAGGAGGGGAGTGGTCAGACAAAGCCTGCACAGAGAACTTCTGACACACAGATTTTTAAATCTTCCCACAGATCATCCTGAAATTAAATAAAATACAGAATCTTACCTTTAAAATCCTCATGATAGATACAAGGCTGACAGATCGGCTCCGTGGTGCTGACTGCCATATCTATCCGAACTATGATGAGATCTTTATGCCGTCCTGCTGGTAAAAGCCATAAAAAAACGTCTCATATGAGCAATAGAGGTCTATGAATCTGTTTAGTTTAACGCATTTTCCTCCGGTGGCGTCCACAGCAGGTGGTGCGTTTGCGTGCCAGAGGCCGTGTGGGATAAACGATCGCCGGCTGTTCATGCAGAAACTCGTCTTCTTCTTCTCGCTGATGAAGATGACTGAACACCGAGGCGCAGCGAAACATCATTTATTCCTGAATTTTCCATGTGGTTTTAAATAGACTGAAACAAAACAAAACAACGCTTGGATTCCCCCGCATTCAGTGGCTGATTTACTGAACGCCCCTCTAACAGCACAGAGGCTGGGGAGATGCCTCCCTCGATGATGTCATGCTTTGAGGATCACAGCATCACTTGGTCAGGAGGAAATGTGCATTTTAGGAATATTGAC